CCTTCAGAATCTGTTTGCTCCGTTTATTGGAGAAACGATCAGATACAAGCTGCGGGTATTACGAGCTGCTTCAAGTGAGCAAGGATACAATACCCAGAAAAAAATGAAAGAGTAAAACAGGTTTGATGGAGTTCTGGGGGGGAGCGGTCCTTCCCCCAGTGGATTGCATACGGTGAAGACGCCGCCAACCAGAGCACAAGCACTGGAGAAAACACAGAGTAAAACGAGTGAGTAAGCATTGCGAGAGCCTGGTCCGCGTGAAGGGTGCTATGTAAATGCAAGTTGTTGTTGAGTACCATGTGTGCCGTGAGGCAGGCGAGACCACAATAGGGTACATTAGCAGAAAACTCTCTCAAACAAGATTAGCAACAGATCTCATTGCAGGCAATGCTGCATGTACGTTTCCCAACCTTGTAGGTAAGGTACTTTCAGGTGCATGGTTACCTGTGTAACGCTATTAGTGCCGAATTTCATCTACAAACATTACGAGCCGACACCTTTGGAAAAAAGAGGCGAGAATGAAAAGAACGTCAAAGAAAGCATGTGTAGTTTGTTTTCGGTTGTACTTAACCAGTGAAGCACAATGGGATCAGTTACCAATGAAATCCAATAAATCTCTTCCTTCCTAGTTCCAAAGACACTCTCCCACTCTCTTCCTCCTTGTTGTATCCTTCACAGTTTCTTGCTCAAAATCCTTTGTTGTAGGATCGGAAGATCATGGAACTACAACACCTTGCTCTTTTCCTCCTACTCTCAAATGATCTCCTCCCCACTGCTAGTATTCTCCACTTTGCTTGTGTCCTGGTTTTAGTCTTTCTCAATAAATAGGAATCCGTTATTCATAGAAGTGGGAACAACAACAAAATGACATTTATAGAGCGCCTTTCACATCGGGAGGACGTCCCAAAGCGCTGAACAGTCAGATGTCGGGGCCCGAGCATGCGGGAGGGGTGGTGTAGAGATGAGGGAAGGCAGAGAGATGGGAGGGAGACCAAAGGCACGGTCGAAGAGAAGGGTCTTGAGACCGGCCTTGAAGGATACAATGGAGGAAGCGAGGCGAAGGGACCGTGGGATGGAGTTCCAGAGTGTGGGGGCAGAGAGGCTGGGAGACATGGAGCAGGCAGGAACCTGATGAGTGGAGGGAACGGGCAGGTTGGTAGGGAGTCAGCAGGAATTCAGCACAGGGAGCAGGGAGTATCAGTTAACCCCATCAGGGATCAGTTACAGTTCCTTCAAGGCCACTACACAGCTGCCTCTTTCTCCTGTACTTATTGCTGCAGCACAATCCACTCTCTTATTTCTTGCTCCCGTTTCCCATGTCCCCACTTTTGTGACGGAAATCACAACTAAAACAGAACAACACAGCAGAAACATATGCTGGTGAAACCTTTGTTGTCCAGTCAACACATGAGATTGTTTCAGACTACCACAGTCTCTTCCGCTCAGCCCGAGAACGACTTTCGGGCCCAAACTGGCTGTCCTCTCCTCCAAAAGTGACGGCCAACATTGCAGAGCCGTCACCATTGGTGTCGCTTGCTCTACAGTGTCCAAACTCAATACCACTCAATGTAAACACCCAGACTCTTTCAAATTCACTGCCACCCAGTGTAGAGTGCCCAGACAATAAAATCAGCAGACTTTCTCCCCATCAGTCACAGCTGGATTGAAACTCGGCCCTAGAAATGTCTAACCCACTGAGCCAGAGTCCAACAAAACTCCAACTTATAGAAAATCTGATGAGCACATGTGAACATATGGCAGCTTCACATGCGATTCTAATGGTTTTGTGTCTCTTTTAAGATGTTGAACATTGAGGAGCCAGCTTATACTGTACCCAGCGAGGGTTCTGATCACACCATCTCAGTCTCTCCAGACACAGGCCTGTCTAACTGCCACTTCCCAACACAACAGAAGAGAATCGAATGCATCATCTGCTACTCTGCCCACAACCTGTCCGACAGGCTGCCTCGAAAGCTTTACTGTGGGCACACGTTCTGCCAGGCCTGCCTGAAGAGGCTGGAAATGGTGCTAAATGAACAGAAATGGATCCCGTGCCCTCAGTGTCGGCAAAGCACGCCATGCCCCCGAGGAGGCAGCATGATGCTTGACCTGGACCTCGGGATCTTTTTATCTCTTAAAACAGAACTGGATAGTCTGAAGCCGTCCATCAGACCCGATACTGATCTACTGCATAAAAAGGAATCCAAAGGCTCCAATGCATGCCAAGCAATCACTCGGCAGCCAGCAGCTTTGTGCCAGGACAACCCCCGTGAGCCACACTTTCGCAGAAACCCTTGCGCTCAGTGCACTGGCTGCTGCTGTGTTTGACGAAGCCTCTTCAGCTCCGTCCAGCAACAACCTGCACATGTCATTCAATTGCCATTGGGTGTAATACAAAGACGCATTGGATCAGCTGGCTTTATTTCAGCTGCACACACTGAACAGTATGCTACACAGGGAGAGCTGTACTTTCTCTCAGGGAGAGCTCGGCTGCTTTCTGTGTTACACAGGGTGGACTATATGGGCTGCACAAGGCATTAGAGAGCTATATTGTGGGACATTGCTGTGCGCAATTGGCTGCCACGTTCGCCCACAAATATACAGTCAATTCACTTTACAGTGTGTTCTGTGAAGCGCTTTGGGACGTCCTCCCGACGTGAAAATGCAAGGATTATTATTATTATTATTATTACATAGACTGCACAGTGTGTCACACAGGGGTAGCTGGATAGACTATATAGTGTATTAAACAGGGGAGCCGAACAGACTGTTACATAGACTCCAAAGTGTAGAAAAAAAATATTTTCACATAAAGTAATACCAAACAAAATTCAATGCATTTCACCTTTACTAGCAAATAGCATCTGTGCTTGAAAATGACAAAAACAACTGACAAAGCGCTGGTCATCTCTCTGTTTGGCAAGGACCTGCACTTCACAGGCTCTTATTGTAAAGTGCAGGCACTGTGTATTTTGTAGGCGAATGCAGCAGCCAATTTTGCACACAGCAATGTCCCACAAACAGCCATGAAGTGAATGACCAATCTTATCCGGGGATCGTTGGCCAGGACAGTGTGAGAAATCATGGGATCTTTAACGTCCCTTGAACAGGTAAACAAGACGTCTCATCTGAATCATGGTGCTTCTAACAATGCAGGGCTCCCTCAGCACTGTACTGGAGTGTCATTCTAGATTGTGAGTTCAAATCCCGATGTGGGGCACGAACCCACAACCTTCTGACTCAGAAGTGTGGGTGCTACTAACTGAGCCAAGCTGACACTTAAATATTCATTCAAACATTTCACAACCAATTTAAAACCGGATTCTGAAACTTCTCATATCTTCTCTGAATTGTGCCCAAAAGTTGCTCTTCTCTCTGCACTATTGCTGTCAGTCACACAATGGTGGCAACCCAAGCAGATCTGAATCCAGGAGCTGGGCACAAAATAAGGAGTGCTTGGTTCCCTTTGTCTTGTTCAGTTGGCTTATTTTCTACTGTATTTGGATAACCTGACTCAGGTAAAGTGTTTGTAGCCTCCGAACCTTTGACCTGATCCACTACCCCGGCTACAGTTAGAGAAATAATGACATTACAAGCAGTGAGTTCTCCTTTTTGCTCCTCTTACCCAAGGGCAGCCAGCTGTACACACTGAACAGTACGTTACTCACAGAGTACACCGCAACTCTTTGCTAATCGTCACCCTGCAACTGTCATAAGCAGTGGGAGAGAAGAAAGAAAGCAAGGGATTGAAGCAATGCAAGACTTCACAACACCCAGGAGCCCCTTGTGCAGTTTGCCACCTACACAGGTCTATAAGGAGAAAAACTGCACCATGCCAAACAACGCCAAAAAACAGCTGGAGCTAAAAGAGATGCCAGGTTTCAACTGCTGAAGAGGGATCTGTTAGAAGTCAGAAACCAGCACGATGTGTTCTCATAGGGTTGCATATGTCCCTTTTTGTGATGTTTTGTAATCATGTCATTTGATGTTAGAATTCATAGCTAAAAAAAGTTACCAATTTATATATAAAAATCAAATGTTTGTTCTATTTACGGTTCCTTCTCCCTCTGTGTCCCCCCATCACGTCCCAAACTGCTAGTGATAATCTTTGACAGATTACCCATCTCAGACGGAAATATCAACACTTTACATTGATTGCACAGCAAAGCCACCCGTGGATGCTCAACAGTTACACTTGAAGCTGGTAGCTGGCAGGATGGGCATAAGGCCAAGCCCTCTCTCGGTCTGCAGACACTTTATACAAACCTAAACCACTGATCGTTTCATGTTTAGATAGTGCTTTTTCAAACACTAAAGGTTAGATATTCGTTCCACCTTGGGTCGAGATTGACTGTGTCTTCTTAGCCTTTCAAAGTGAACAGAATTGGGCCAATTCTTAAAGACAGTCTTAGTTTTGAACTTTTAAGAACTACTGAAATTGGCGACAAAGTTAAGACCAAATTCAACTATTTGACCATTTCTGCGAACAGAAATTCTAAATACAATACAAAATTACATTCATGTTAAGAGGATTTCCCATGGCGCTGGACAGTCAGGGATTTGGAAGGCAGGGAGGTGGAGGCCAGGAAGGGTGGCCGAAGGCACAGTCAAAGAGGAGGGTCTTGAGGCATCCCTGGAACAAGGCAAAGGGAATGTGGGATGGAGTTACAGAAATCTAGTCCAGGAGTGGGGGGAGGGGGTGTGGTTGTATGTCTTTGCTCTAGACCTACACATCACAGACTCTGGGGTACTGCACAACACAGGCAAAACACAATTCCCTGTTACAATGCGATTACAAATATGTATTTCCTTGAAGTCTTTCTCCTGCAGGACAGGACACCTCGGCTGTCGCTCATCTGAATTGGCCAGGGTGCTTCAGTGATACCAGCAGTCGCTAGTGATGGGTACAGACCTGATAGGAAGCTTCATCCACAGCCAGCACAACTGGCAGGTTTCTAGTTTGTTCATTCTTAATCAATCACACACAAAAAAAATCTTACCAGCCCTCAGGAAGGCAGTGGGCAGATCAAACGATAGCACGGGTTCCTGGTCTAACGCTCCATCCCAACAGCTAGACAACACCACAATCTTTGCTATTAACTTCAGCTCGAGTATCTCTGGAATGGTTAATAAGAAAGTCCGCTCGTCCGCGCGCTCTTGTGCATTAGTTGGTGGATACGGAGCGAAGACAAGCACACCATCTTCCCAGCTCCCAAACGTAGCTGTAAATCAGAAAGAACAAGTGAACACTAACTAACCGGGGAAACCAATTTTCACTCCTGCCATTGTTAAGCTAAGGGGGCAAGTCGGGGAGATGTTCACCAGCCAGGTATGGAAAGCCCCAGCATGTAATACAGTAATTATGACACTGAATGTTGCATTTTTCATCCAATTAACAACAACAAGATTACTGTGAAGTTCTGGGCAACACTTGCGAGAAATATCACTAACCCACGAGCAGACTGATCTGATCGCCTGTGCTCACCAATATGCACGATCGTTGCTTGAGGGAGTTCCGTAAGGACTAGTTTCTTTGTAGCTTCCTCTCCTAAGACGGCATCAGTTTGCAGGTACTCAGCCACCTTCAGAACCTCTTTTTGTGCTGTGATTAAGGGTTGTCCTGCCTTCCAGACTCTCCCCAACAGGAATAATTCTGATGGCAATTGAGGACTTCCTACAACTAATGCCTGTATTCGGCAAAATATCTGAGGAGGGAAAATTCCAAAGAGAATTACTCATAGAAAATGTCATTATTTTCTAACCAGATATAACATTGGAAGACAAAAATGCATTTGTTTAGAAATACATAGTCACTACAATTAACAGTAAATCCTGTGAAGCTCTTGAGACGTCCTCGTGATGTGAAAGGATCTATATCAAATGCAAGGATTATTAATCACCCACAAAATAGTCAATTCACTTTACAGTATATTCTGTGAAGCACTTTGAGACATCCCGAAGATGTGATAAGGCACTATATCAAATGCAAGGATTATTATTATAACTCAGACACATATCCACAAACTATACAGTCAAACAAACACAGATTCATACCCAACATGACCACTCACCCGATCAGTTCACACTCTCAAAACAAGACACATTCATATCCAGACCACACACCCAATCAGACAGTCACATGCCGAGCCACACACCTGTTTGAACGGAGGAATGAAGTGCTTGGAGCTGACCACAGCTGTGTTGGTAGCCGTGCGGTGAACAAGGCGATGTATAGGGCCTACATGTCCCATCTTCTGTAACCCACGTAGCTCCTGGTTGTTCCCACCCATCACCTCCAGCAGAGCCATGTCATCAGCTGGAACAGGCCCTGTAACACAGAGAGGAGGTCAAGGCACTGCAAACTTGACTAGCACTAGCCACATATATCCCCCAAAATAACTAATGGAAATGATGGTATGATTGTTTGTTTTTACATTAACGCTTAGAGAACTGTGCTACCATGACTCAAGTATGAAGGATGGAGGTCAAAGCAAGATCTGCCCCTGAAAAGCATGTAGGCAAGTGGAATAAAAATTGTATTGTTCGACTGTACCTTCAGTCACCCTCCTACCCCTACCCTCCCCACTCTCCACATTCCAACTACCAGCTCAGGTGCGGATCCCTGACTGTCCAGCAGCGCCTTGGGATGTCCTCCTGACGTGAAAGGCACCATACAAATGTAATTTGATGTTGTTACTGTTATTGTTCTACAGCTTGAATGTGCCAGTTACAAAAGTGCCACATCGTTAAAGGTACTGAAATTATAAAAGCCTTTGCAATTATGAAGGAAGCTGCAAATTGTAAAATGTTCCCAGCACTTCACAGCCGTTATAAGTCAAGTTGCAACTGTCTGGAATAAGTAAATGCATTACTGAGCTGTTACTTCCTGGAATAAATAAACCTTTTCTTGTCCTGTTTCTTCCTTTGATAACTAATTTTGGTCTTAACTCTTGTCAGAACATGCACCTCCTTTATATAGGAGTACAACAACAACAAATTGCATTTGTATAGCACCTTTCACGAAGGGAGGATGTCCCAAGGGGCTGGACAGTCAAACGTTTGCACCCCAGAAGTGCCCCTAAGGGAATAATGCTCAACTTAACAGTAACTATAGTTTAGTGGTTCAGAGTTCTTTTAGTTCTACTTTGCGAGCAACTGAACTGAGTATTGTGAATTAATTTAGGATTAGGCGCATTGTCCACATTCCAAGGTACAGCACACATTAGTTACTAGCGGAAGCCACAGCCCAATGAAACTTACTTTCTACCTTGGTCTCCCCACGACTTTGGAACTTCATTGCCACGTTTTCCACGGCGAATAGTGATGGTAAGAGAGAGACAAAAAATTTGTCCCCTAGCTTTTTATTCTTGTAATTGTGCAGGTTTGAAAAGGGAACCTGTGATTAAAGAAGATACTTAGTTTGGGAGTAGCAGGTATGTGGAGCCTAAGTTGGCACATTGAATAATTAAATTAGTGCAGCAAGAATCTGTGAGGACACGATTATCTTTATTAAAAAAAGCACAATACCAGCACATCACAACTGAGGAAATGGTACAGTAAATTAAACAACACATTAAGTCCTTAAGTATATATATTGAGGTGGTCTGTACAGGTGCATGTTAAAGATCCCATGACACTTTTCGAAAAGAGAAAGGAGTTTCTCCCAGTGTCCAGGCCAACAATCCTCCAAACAAAATTGGTCACTCACTCACATCCATTGCGGTTTGTGGGGCATTACTGAGTGCAATGTATGACCCTCACACCTACCTGGAAGAGATGTTTGTCTGGCACTATCAAGATATCACTCCCGGCCTCCGGTTCTTCCAACAGGTCACTGATAGGCTCCAGGAGTAGCCTGTACATCTGCTGCCAGCTCTCATGCTCCATCCAATACTGTGGATCCCCAGAGATGCCCTGTGCACCTTCAGCTTTCTCACATGAAGTGGAGGCGTAAGGTCCCTGGAGCGAAGAGAGACCAGAATAAAGAACATATTCACCCCATTGGCAATAGGGAACCTGACTGTTGGACTGTATTTTAACACTGGCTTACTTTTCAACAGGTGTCAGCCTCAGTTGGTCATGCTCTTGTCTCAGAATTTCCAGCTTTCACCTCCACGGAGTTGCACTATCCTGCGTCTGTGACCTTCTAAAACTCTACCAACCCATCTGCTCCCTCCACTCAGAAGGCACTGGTCTGTTTCATACACCCTGCCCTGACCACCCCACCATTGGCAGTTGAGCCTTCATCCGTTATGCCCCCACTCTCTGGAACTCCTTCCCAGAGATCCTATGCCTTGCTCCTTCCCTCGCTTCCTTCAAAGTCTGTCTCTGACTGCGCCTTCGGTCATCCTTCCACTCCCACTCTCCTTGCCCCCAAATCTGTCCTGAATAGAAATCCCAGCTCGAGTTCAAATCCTCGATATCCAGCACCTCCTCCGGACATGAAAGATGCTATATAAATGCATTTTTTTTGTTGTTGTTCAGGCCAGAAAGTTATGAGTTCAAGTCCCATATTGGGACATTTAACATACAGTCCAGGCTGACAAATACACAGGGCTGACAAATACACAGTCACTACACTTTACAGTAAAATCTTGTGAACTGCTTTGAGACAGTGATGTGGTCAAGCGCTATATTAAATATGAGGATTATTATTAGAACACTGCTTTTGATACAATATTTACCTGTGCTTTTTTGGGAAGGATCGTTTCCCATCTTGTTTTTGCTGAGGGGATGTTCCGAGGCTCAACCTTGAATAGCATGGACTTGCCCTTCAGCATCTGCAGGAAGTGGCAAATCTGCCAATGGATGTTTGCTGCTTCTTTAATGCTGCTCCTGTGGAAGCGGACCAGGCCCTGTCCAGCTCTCAGCACCCACAGTAATATGCCTGTTTTTACCAGTGAGTAATACAACACAGTCCCAGGCAAAGTCTCTAGTCTGCTGTAAATTGCCTCCAAACTCGGCACACCTAATTCTGCTGCAAATTCTAAAGTCTCACTGTCTGATTCATCCAAGCACAAATGGAATTCGTCCCTTAAGAAGGTATGATTTAGAAAGCTGCATTTTCGCCCATACTCTGCATATTGTAATGCCTTTGTTTTATCATCCAGTTTGATAAGGGTTGTCTGGATACCATCGAAGCTCTCCAGAAGGATATCATTGACATCTCTCGGCACTTTTAAGCCCTCAAGCCTGCATTTCAGCTTTATCCACTGGTAACGGGCTATCACTTCCTCAAAAGCATTGGAAGCTACCAATAGCTCTTGGGTGTAGAACGAGAACTGAGAGATATTAGCCAAGTTGAATTTACACCTGTCAATCAGCTTTTGGTCCCCAAGGCTCTCTGCAGCATTTATTGCCATCTCAAAGAAAAACAAGGCATGCTGACAACGAGACATCACTGCATAAACCTCACCAATCCCTAGTGCGGCCTCACATCTCATCCTTTCATTTTTGGTGTTACTGACACGCTCCCAAACTTGTTTGTAACAATTTTCAGCCTCTTCAAAGTACTCAGCTGCCTTGCACACCCCTGCGAGTCTTAGTGATGCTAGCAACCGAAGATCGCTATCACCTAGAGCTTCCAGCACATAGTAACTCTGATAAGCATGGGACACAGCAGGATCATAATTGCCAAATATTGCATGTAGCCTCCCCATTGATTCATAAGCCAGTGCCTCATCCATACTGTTATGTGTCATCTGGCTCAGCTCACTAAAGTGCTGGTAGTTGATCAGTGCCTCTTTGTAGAACTCCAACTTCTCCTGAAGTTTAGCAACCTGCAACAGAATATTAGAGGGGTTGGGTTTGTGTTAAATTATTATAAAATGTAGAACACGGAATGAGAATGAGATGGATCAAGATCACGAAAAAGCAGAACCATCTGTAAATTTTTAAATGGTTAATTAGGGCCCCTGTATACTATGGTTAGCACAATCTGCTTTTCCTTTAATACTCCATTTTATACAGTTTTTTTTTATCTTGAACAGATTATATTCCATTGGTTATTTTTTCTTCTGCAATTTAGGTACTCCTCCAACCCTTACTCAGAATGGATTCCATTAATTTCACTTAATTCTTGTTGGGCCAAAATGACATAACAGTAGCTCAACTGGGCTTGGGAAAAAAAGGTAGGGATTGAATCGGATTGCATATCCTCCGCCCTACAAGCCAAAGCCCTAATGGATCAGGAGTTCCTTGTTGAACAAGTACTATGATACCATTTAGGTCAGGCTAAAGAGTCTCCAAATGGCATACTGCACTCTGATAGCCTTGATAAGAACAGAAGCAAATCCAATCTACACACCAGTCTTGGCCAGTGTCAGAGACATCGCAATTGCTTGAATGGCTGGTTGTCATATCTTGTTACCTTTGTTGTTATCCCTTTTCATGAATTAGGAAAAATATTCTAGAATTCCTCACCTTTAAATAAGCAGCAGCTATGTCCTTGCAGTGGCTCTTGTACTCTCTGTCCAGCAATAGGTTCAGGTATTTTTTCCCATAGGTCAATGCTTTTGGGTAATGGTGAAGAGTATGATAGATCTTGCTCAGTTTCAAATACACATCTAATTCTGTCTCCGCACTCCAGAATTTCCTGCAATGAACAAGCAATAAAGAGTCAGCAGCACTGTAGTTTGCTGTACAATCTACTCCCCTGTGGAGGCTGTGAGGGGAAGATATTCCACCTGCCTCAACATTGACTCTATTTTCCTAGGGTTTCAGAGAAATGTCCAGAATTTGGCAAGTTATTAAATTACAGCCTCAATTTTGAAGCCAGTAACAAACCAGTGACTGATTTTAAAATGAGACTGCATTTAAGAATTTGACCAATTTCACAAATTCTGGTTGCTCTGAAATGCTAAGAAAATAGAGCAAATCTAGACTCAGGTGGGATTTCCTCTTTAAACCGATGTTGTTTCTGTGGTGATGGTGCTCCCGTGATCTACAGTGTGTGAGGATTATGTAAATTAAACTCTGGACATAGCATTTGGTAAGGTAAACTGCTGAAGACTCTGCTACCTGCTAAAGTGGTTGTCAGGCTGCTGTTTGCTGTCTTCAATCGCTGTGAGGAGTTCCAAGTAGTTGTAAAGTGCATCTTCAAGGCTTCCTGTTTCCATGTGTAGAGCTGCCAGTTGTGCAAAACACTGCAAAAAGAACACAAGAGTCACTGCACACAACATACCAAAGACAGCCACATTGCAATAGTGGGGAAACTCCAGTTCTGGCATAGAATATATATCAAGTAGGGGCTGTAAACAGGGTTGACTTTTTGCATAATTTTGTCAGAGGTGATCTGCTTCACATGAGACATCCACTTATAAGATGGATGTTAAAGACCCATGACATTATTTGAAAAGGGAAGGGAGTTTTTGTCCAACAATAAAATTGGTCATTCACCACTTTGTGGGATATTGCTTTGCACAAATTGGCTGAACTCATTTGCCTACATTGGAAAGAATGCATTGGTTACACTTTACAGAAACTCTATGAAGGTCTTTCAGTCAGTTCAACGTTATTGAATATTGTGTGATAGCAAGAATTATTATAGTTATTTTTTACCTGGAATTCAACCTCACTGTGTTGTTCTTTCAGTGCCAAGAACAAACAACTTTCATAGGTTGACAAAGCCATTTCCTTATTCTTTGTCTGTACATGGCAGCTGGCTTCCAGCAAGTAGAAATGCAATCTGATCTCATTTTTCATTGTTGAACGGTAAATCTGGACTGTTGAGTTGATCAACTGGATGCATAGACTGTGCAAATTAGCTTTTAAAAGCTGTCTGCCAATCCGAAGAAGTGCTTCATCCAGGCCTACATGGAATTTCAACAAATACAATATACAGTCAATTCCCTTTACAGTATATTCGGTGAAGTGCTTTGAGACATCTCGAAGACGTGATAAATGCAAGGATATCAAATACAAGGATTATTATTATTATTACATAAGAATTACAACAGTATATGTTTTGGTTAGACGTTAGTTTGACACAGAAAAACTACTGTGATTATTATTGTTTATTATTACTGTTGTGCAAAAAAGTACACAAATCAAACTACGTGTGTATGGAAATTTCAGTTTGTCTGGTAATGGAGTGTGCAGAGCTCTACCCAGAGGAACACACCTTTCTTACCTAATCCCAGAGAGTTCAGGCTTGGGTTGACAAGAGCCAATTGCCACTGCTGGAGTTTGATCAGCTAAAATCACAGTTTTATCACTGTAAACACTGGCTGACAAGCTTTCCACTGCTTGTCCAGCTAACCCTACCCATTAAGTTTTGACTTGCAGGATTAACTGGAACTGAGTGAAAAGAATCACAGCTCCCAGGAACCAGTCTGCTCCTCCAAGTTCTGCTAACAAGCTCGTCTGGCTGGTCCATCATCAACAATGACTTGGGGGGGGTGGGCATCAATATTGAAATTAACTGGACAAGATGGAAACCTACAATAGGCAACGGGGGTGAGGAGTTACTGGGCTTGAGTTGATGCAAAGAGAGCATGAGCTCACAACTGGGTCTGAAAAATTAAAAGATAATTTGGCAAAATACCAAAGTGGAGTGAAGAGTTAAACTGTGGTGCTATCAACTTTGATGGGGGTTTAGGCTTGTACACAGCATTAGATTCTGTCCGGGTTCACACCTGTATATAACGTGATGTGTGAATGAGTTCTGCCTACCTTGCTCCTCGCGCTCAGTGTCCACTGCTTTTTCTCTGCACAGTTTGTAAGTGACCCTCTGTAGGTCTAGCACAAGTGTCTCCCTGTGCACCGAGTCAAGCTCCAGGCAGTGAAGCAAGGACTGGAAAGCATGAGAGAAGTGGCCGAGGTACTCCTTAGCCAGGGACAACAAGTAATGATTCTGCAAACAAAACAAGTTATAGGGGGAAAAGCAACACATTATAACCCCTATGGAGAAATCCTATTATCTTAATTTTCAACAAGGAGAACAACAAATTACATTTTATAGCACATGTTGGGAGGACGTCCCAGGTCGCTGGACAGTCAGGGATTTGGACCGGAGTAGGGTGGTTGGGATCAGGAGGGATGGAGAGCAGGAAAGGTAGGGGTAGGGTAGGAGCACTTCTTAAGCACCAGAGAATGGGGAGAGACAGCATTTACTATGTGAGGGATAAGCGATTGCTAAATTGCTTTGAAAGAGCTTTTTGCTCCATCTTTTGAAGCTGAGTGAATGTTCTTTTTACAGTCAGCATCCCCCAGCACCTCACCTGTGGTGCCTGAGGTTGGAGCTTGGTCAGGATTTGCCCATCTACCCACGCTTCATTGTATAGCTTCATCTGTATGAACAACGCGGTACGGCATGAGAGTAACTGGCAATCAGTGGCATCCAGCGTTAGGCCCTGAGTGTAAAGGACAAGTGCCTCTTCGTAATTCTTGGCTTTGAACTCTTTATCTCCTTCCTCTTGCAGGCGAGCAATCTGTACCAAGCAATGCAGTGTTATTAGTACACACTCAGGCTTCAGTCGCATCACCCTACCGCCGTTCCCCCACCCCCAGGACACTTAAAAGGGATTCTCATATAAAAGAAGCATCTTCACATTTTGCCAATGCGGAAGTTGTAGGTACAAACAATGAGGGGATTGGAATAGCAAGAAAGAGAAATATTGCTACAAAAAAAGGAGTAGAGGATCCAGAAAGACAAACACAGAGGAAGGTGTCATAGATAACAAAAACATAAAAATAGTACGATGATTATTGAGAGAATTAATTGCTTTCCGCACAGTTCCCATTTTAAGTGGCACTAATAATAATAATAATAATCCTTGCATTTGATATAGCGCTTTTCATGTCGGGAGGACGTCCCAAAGCGCTTCACAGAACACACTGTAAAGTGAATTGACTGTATATTTGTGGGCGAATGCGGCAGCCAATTGCGCACAGCAATGTCCCACAAACAGTCGTAGATTGAAAATGACCAATTTATTATTGTTTTTGGTTTTGGAGGGATTATTATTAGGCTCTGTGTGGAGTAAGGAAACTTGCCCAAGGTTTCGCCCTGTCTGGAATTGAACTCAGGTCTCTCGCTTGCAAAGCGAGTGCTCTAACCACTGAGCTACAGGACTCCTAGTAACTCCTAGTAACTAGGACTCCACTAAACCAAGAGGTGCTCATTGGAGGTTGTGGCATCTCTTGGGAGAGGAGATGGACAAACAGTTCATATCTGGCCAATCTCTATATCTACTGGTGAATGGTAAAGATTCCTTCACGATGAACTCTTGATCTAGGTTGGCTTATGGCAAGAGCAACAAAGCGGAAATGGGGACTGGAATGAAAATCAGCACAAAAGTAACCATTAGCCTGTCTCATTCAATATCCACATTGAAGACTCCAATAAAGATAAGTTGGAGCCTCTTGGACTTAGATATTTTTGCCCCCCTCCCCACCCCCAGTTTTACCTCTTGAAGGGCAAGAGAGCCTTTTTTCTGTTTGTTCTTTCCTATGGTTGAAGCTGACACCAGAGAGAGAGTGCTTTTGAGAAACCTTGTTGACTCACTGTCTCTGACATTGGCCGAAAACATCTTTACTACCAAACCTGAGAAATCAAGCAGCAGAGTAACACTGTCACACAGACAGATATAGATCAAAGTCGAACTGTACACAAGTCATGAAATTTAAAATTGTTTGTCATTTTACTGCTGACCTCAAGGAGGAAAATATACTGCTCTCGATGACAAATAATGCAGCTTTAGCCAATTAAACTCTAGCAGTATCCAAAGCACACTCTGAGATGCCCAAGCCTTGGCTCTTGCCAACCTGCACCTTACACTCTCTGGAATTAGATAACCACGATTTATCCCTCCTACGACAGACTGCACATATTCCATGTAAATTGTTGTTGTTATGATTGGATACACGCAAAGAGGAGATAAATAGGATTAGAGTAGAATACACTATAGCCGAAGTTAGCACTTGTATGAGCTCAGTCGCCTCCTTCTGTGTAGCAACAGCAACAGCAAAATTACATTTATAGAGCGCCTTTCACGTCGGGAGGACGTCCCATGGCACTGGGCGCAGAAAGTAGTACTTTCTCTGATTCTATGGTCAATGTAATTCAATTAAATTGACATGACATTTTGTAAAAGCTTGCTTACCCACCTCAAATTTATTAACAGTTTTGCGGAAAGCAAGATAACAGAAGAAATCATTAACAAATTACATTTGTATGCCTTTCACATTGGGAGGATATCAACTACATGTCGCAGTGATTTAAGTGGTTCACAGCTACTGTTAATTCTTCATTGTTCACAGTTGGAAAATTGTGTGCAGTTTTGTACAATAGAAATTATATTAGAGCTATGAAGAGGGAACATCTCATAAGATTTATGAGGATGATACTGGAGATGAGGGTAAATGGCTATGCGGAGAGGCTAGAGTGACTAGGCAGAGAAGGATGACAAGTGATATACAACCAAAGCATTTACAACACAGAAGGACAGTCAATCCTGTCTGTGCTGCCTCTGTGAAAGAGCAATCCATTCAGACCCATCCCCCTGCCTTTTTCCCAGATACTTATATCTACCTTATTTCTCTTCAGATACCTATCTAATCCCTTCTTGAAAGTTGTAACATAATAATAATCCTTACGTTAGGTAGTGCCTTTCACATTGAGAGGACATCTCAAAAATCTTCACATTATTGTCATTGCTCCACATGAAGGGCGCTATTCAAATGCAAATTGTTGTTGTATCCTGTAAAGTGTAGCAACTGTGTATTTTGTAAGCAAATTTGCAGACAATGTATGCACAGCGATGTCCCACAATATCCATGAAATGAATGACCGTGCACTCCGAGACACCATCGGGCGTGAAGGATGCTATATAAATGCACGTTGTTGTGGTTTTTGACCAATTTTATTTGGGGGAATGTTATAATATATCATACAATAATCCTTACATTTGATACAGAGCTCTCACGATTGGAAAATGTCTCAAAGCACGTTGCGGGATACACTGTAAGGTCTAGTGGACGTGTATTTTGCGGACAGATGCAACTTGTGCCCGGCAATGTCCTACAGACAGCCACGGTTATAACTCGGCGGGTGAAATGGAAATTGCGGGGAGAGAAGCTTTCTTTCGAGAGGGCGGTCGGAGCGAGAAATTAATTGGCAAGGGCTCCGGTTGGCAGCAGAGTGGTGGAACAGTTGGCGAAGACCTTTTAAGAATGCATAGAAGCGTGGAGTGGGCGAGGAGTAATAATAATAATAATAATAATAATCATTGCATTCGATGTCGCGCCTGATCGCGCCTTCGGGACGCCTCGAAAGCCCCTTCACCGGCGCATTCCGCGGGCGACGAAACGTGCGGCGAAGGAAGAAGCGATCGACTCCGGTCGGTGACAACGGTTGGGGGTTCGTTCGCCCTACAACTTGAACACTTTTTTTTGGGGGGGGGGGAGGTGGGGGTTGAGGGTGGGGGGGGATGTGGGGGGGAAAGGGTTGTGAGAGAGGGTGGAGGGGGGGGAGGAGAGAGTGGAGAGGTTCAGCCCCCCCCCCCCCCTTTTGCTGCTCCCGCTGCACTGCTTACCTGAGCCTGTTTAGTCTCCTGCCAGTTTCCTCAGCACCTGTGAGGGGGGGGAAACTAAGGCAGAGGCAGCCCCAGGCCCAAGTGCGCCATAGTGTCAGCCATGGCAACCGCAGCCTGGAGACGGGCGTCGTGACGCCGCGGGCCACGCACGCACGCACGCACTCACGCACGCACGCACGCACGGGGCGAGGTGAGGCGCCACGCCGGTCCGAGCCGAAGCAGGCGGCGCGCCTTGGCAACCGCCGTGGCAACCGGCGGCGTCGTGACGTCACGTCGCCGCCGCACCCCCCCCCCCCCCCCCACCACCTCCCCGCGAGGTCACGACCCGACGCCGCTCGACGTGGCGCTTCGTGCCACGTGACTAGGCCTCAACACACGCACACACGCGCAGGGCGGCCATGTGCTGCGCGTTCGCCTCGGTTGTTGGGCCTCTGGCTCACACGGGCTGAGCGGGGTGGGAGGGGGGGTTGAGGGAGATGTTAACCTTGTCGGGTTTATTCGGGGTCAGGAGTTTGTGGCTCAGAAACGGAGCCGCTGCCTGCGAGGGAAGGCCCCGGGCGGCCATGGTCGCTCCGGCCAGAAGATGGTGCTCTTGTCCTGCACGTTTCAGTCGGTCTCACCGAGAGGCTGGAAGCGCACCGTGGCACCGTCGCACCGCTCCGCACCTCACCCCCACCCACCCCACACCACCCCCGGGGTGCTGCGTCCGCAACCCGGGCGGCCGCCGGCGCCATTGCCGGGCGTTCCCGGTCCCCCGAGTCGGTGTCGTTGAGCAGCGATAATAATAATGATAATGATGATAATAATAATAATAATAATAATCCTTGCAATCACCTCAGGAGGACACCTCAAAATAGATAGATAGATAGATAGATAGATAGATAGATAGATAGATAGATAGATAGATAGATAGATAGATAGATAGATAGATAGATAGATAGATAGATAGATAGATAGATAGATAGATAGATAGATAGATAGATAGATAGATAGATAGATAGATAGATAGATAGATAGATAGATAGATAGATAGATAGATAGATAGATAGATAGATAGATAGATAGATAGATAGATAGATAGATAGATAGATAGATAGATAGATAGATAGATAGATAGATAGATAGATAGATAGATAGATAGATAGATAGATAGATAGATAGATAGATAGATAGATAGATAGATAGATAGATAGATAGATAGATAGATAGATAGATAGATAGATAGATAGATAGATAGATAGATAGATAGATAGATAGATAGATAGATAGATAGATAGATAGATAGATAGATAGATAGATAGATTAGGGCCTTGGTTTAATGTCTCATTCCAGAAGGACGGCACCCGCAGCAGTGAGGTACGCCCACAGCACTGCATTGAAGCGTCAGGCTGGACAGTAACTTGCAAAGTCCTGAAATCGGACGTCAACCCACAACCTTCAAACTCAAGAATGCTACCGACTGAACCAGGCTGATACATCATTGATCTACAGAATTTAATTGAGCTGCTCAAGTCTTTGACTTTATACTAAAACAGTTCTGCTGTTCGGGTTTATTTTGGCTGGGGAGGGAGAACGCCCAGGGTGATATTATTATTTCACATTCTTGTTTCTTCCCCAACCATTCCTGTTTCCTAACCTTTTTCGGTAGTTTTTTTCCATCCTCTGGAGGAATGGAAGGACAAATAAGTATCGTGATTCCAGTCAATACAGGATGTGTAAGCGAGAGAGAGGAAGCAAGGCTTGGGTTATATTGGTCACAGGCTGACTCCTAGATGCGTAAACCATTAATCGTTTCTTAAATGGCTAAATAATGTTTTTTTTTAGTCAGCTAGGTGTACATGTGGAAACCCATCACCATGCTTCAGAGTATTCAAACCACACTGAGAGTTCCACGTTTGAACGCCACGTACACATGGAAATCGTCCTGTGTCTGGAATGGAATGCACACTCTCAAAGATACTTAAAAAAAAGTCATTTGGGATTAAAAAAAAGAAATGATTCTACAGTCAGTCAGGGGCCAGCAGGGATGGTCTTTTCCACCCCCCGCAACCCCCCTCACCGACTGCTGATTAAGGTCAACGCAATGACGTCCACTTCTATAGAACGCAAAGGTCAAGGCTAAGTGAGGCGAAATATTTCTTTCCCTGGCAGCGAAACCGCTTGTTGAGAGGTGATAAGACGGATTTGTGTGAGGCAGCTTTCTTCCACTGTAAATCATTGAGCAGTTTGACCTAAAGAAAGGAGGTCAGAAACTGGAAATTTATTTATGGTTGTGGAAATATTTGTAGTTAAAACTGGCGGGTTATTTACTTCAGTGACGGAATGTTTTTGTTGGTTATTACTCATGCAATCTATTTATGACCACATGTATCCAATAAACAATGGGCCCGAAATTCCACCTAGTCTTTGCCTACGAGACCTTTTTGGTGCAGTTTGAAGTTGAATTCTGGCAAATTCTTAAATCAGGTCTTAACATATTCAGTCAATTTACTGGTAAATTCTGTGAAGTGCTTTGATGTGTCTCAACAACGTATAAAGGCGCTGTATCAAATGCAAGAATTATTATTAATATTAATTTAGAAGCCGGTTTTCCGCAGTTCTTAAAACGAATGAAACTGAAATTAAATCGTAATTTTTTAATTAAATTAAGACTGAATTTAAGACTTTGCCCAGTTCAGTAGAATTTTTAAGACAAAAATAGCCTTACTCAATTATGGAATGCCCCAGTCATAGATAGTGGCCTCAGTAGATAGTGTAATGTTAGTGCTGTCAAGATAATGGTGAGTTACTTTTTTTAATGCTGGGCCACAGTGAGTCTGACTCAATAGCGCCACATCAACCAGAACAGATCAGTCAGGTTCACGTCACTCAGTTTAATAAACAGGCTCGATCTATGGGAACCTTAGATGAATGTGACATTTTTGCCGCTTCGAAATGTCCTGCTCCTTCTTTGACTTTAGCACCCATTGGGCTCTAGGCTAAATAGGGGGGAGAACAGTCAGGGTTTCTGCTCCTAATACCTAAGACAGTGTATATGTGTTTTGCCCACAAAATATAGAGTCAATTCATTTTACAGTATATTCTGTGAAGCGCTTTGAGACGTCTCGAAGATGTGATAAGGTGCTATATGAGATGTCCAGAAAATGTGAAAAGTGCTATGTCAAATGCAAGGATTATTATTATCATCATGAGATCCTGAGTGAAAGAAGCAACAAGCTTCACTGCTACATCCTCCACTGTCAAGTAATAACAATCTTTGCATTTAATACAGCGCCTATTAGTGTCAAACCATTGTAAAGCACTTCATAGGGAATTGCTATCAAGTGTAGACTATTTTGCAGGCAAAACTGGGAGCCAGTTTGCACACAGCAAGGTCCCACAAACAGGCAGGAGGTGAAAGATCAACTTATCTGGAGAATTGTTGGCCAGGATACTGGGAGAAACATTCTCTTTTCCTATAGGCTCCAATCGTTTTTTATCAAACAGACGGAACCTGGATTTGAAGGTCACATCTGATGGCACATCCAGCAATGCAGCACTCCCACTTGTATCAGTCTAACCTGTGAGCTCAGAGTTTCTGACATGGAGCTTTATCCTGAGGGTGAAGACCTTGATGTCAATCGATTGGGAGATGGGGAGACAGTGGAGCCTGGCGAGGGCTGGGGTGATGAGGAAAAGGGAAAGTAGATAGATTCATCCATTTCTACAATAACAGTTTCAGTGCTTGAGTTCCTGAGAGGCGTGTCATTTTCGGACTGTAAACAGACACAAACGCAGAGGTCACCAAGCACAGGAATGAAGTGCTGACCTTTTTAATACCTCAATCAGTCAGGTTAACGTCACTCAGTTTAGTCGACCTTTATGGGAAATCTTAGATGAATGTGACATTTTTGCCTCTTCGAAACGTCCTGCCTCGCCCTCGCTGAAAAGGTCACATTTTATAGCACAATCCAAAAGTGTGAGTGTACGAGGAACCTTTGAACCAAAGCCCAGGTTAAAAACATCATCAAGAAGTAAATAATGCCTAGAATATGTTAGCGGCCGCTATGCAGGGAGATGTAGTCACTCCTTCAGCGTATCAAGCAGCACATTGAATTTCTTAAAGGTCAAGTTGGCTAGAATGTGCTGTGTACTCTTTATGGTGAGTTACACCCACGTTCCTCCATGATGAACGCACTAAAAGAAACCTCCGTGCACTTGTTTTCACATCTTTGAGCGAACTGTACAAACAGTAACACTTACATTTCATAACGCACCCATGAAGTAATGAAAGAATGGAAGAACAATCCTTACATTTAATAGAGCGCTTTTCATGTCAGCAGGGCGACTCAAAGCTCATCACAGGATTGACTGTAAAGTGTAGTAACTGTGTATTTTGTGTATTTTGCCAACCCATAACCTACTGACTCATAGGTACCAAAGAGGGAGCTACGCTGACTCCCATAGAGAATTCCTTTGAGGATTTGGAGGGAGGGGAAAAAGCACAGGTGGAACAGGTGTAAATTTATCAGTTGCTTTTCTTAAACAAGTCCAGGCAACGTTGAGACGCCACTCCTGCAAAGCCCAGGTTACTCATACATCCACCCCTCTCCAGCAATACCATGAACCAAGGGCGTGAAATTAGTTTACTCAACACTCAGTTTACAAAATTCCTCACCCAACCAACAATCCTGCGTTTCGTAACATACCTTGGGATCCTTTGTATGGGGACACTTTCTATACCCTGAAGCCAAAAGCCAAGTGCCAGCTCATTATTATTCAGTGGGAGCATCCGGTGAAAGCAGTTCACTGGCTTACAGTGCGTGGTATCGATGCTGCCTGTTATCGCAGAGATAGCCATCCCGAAGAGTCCCGTAGTGTAGTGGTTCAAGCGTTCATCGCGCAAGCGAGGGGACCCTCGTGCGATTCCTGGGCGAGACAAAACCTTAGGCAAGTTTCTTTATTCCACATGCCTCTGTTTGCCTAGCAGTAAGTAGGAACCAGGTTGTTAGTTGATTGGCGGATCGTTTCTGAGGGGAATAATCCCTCCCCACAAAAAAATGTGGTCATTCAATCCACGATTGTTTGCGGGACATTGCTGTG